ACAGATGCTTCATTGGCATCTTATTCATCTGAAAGAGTGTGGGATGTTCATCGAATTCCTATTTAAGGAGGATTGGATTACGCCTTTCTTCCAGTCCTTTATTCTGGTTCTATACCCCATGTATTTCCCTTTAACGCTGTGTCAAGGCCACAACGAGCGGAATGGAACTTCTATTTCGCTATTTCTTTTGTTGGAACTCTGTAAACCCCTTTCGAATTGAATGATTCAGTGTGAAAATCACACTCACTCTCTCTAGACCCAACCAAAGCCCTTCACTCAACTCAAAATAGCGTCTATTAGAAAGCATATCATGAGTTGAAAGACTCGTTACAACTTGTGCTTTTGTCAAGGGCAAGGGAATCACCCGGCTCATTCACCAGAAATCAGCCTAAGAAAGACCTATCCGGAACAAATATGGTTTCGTAGCTGATCCGCCGAAAAGAAAAGACAAGGGGGTGCACTCTTGGCTAATCGGTCTTTCTGGCAAACCTATATTCTAGGGAGGCCGATTCCCTTATTACGTAGCGTAATGGATTCCTCGATAAACCAATCGAGAGAGATGGCAAGACAAACCTAAACCCTAATCCAAGTTTCAGTGCCAACCCCCGACGGGTGGTCAGAGCGGTTGGAGTCGTTCTGTCTTTCCATCCCCGCCTCTACTCTTGGAAAAAGAGTGCGGTTACCAAGCACTAGCTATCCACAGATATCGAATAAAGGTAAAGAGCATTTCTAGTCTATTGCCCCAGGTGGATCCTACCTTCTACCAATAGAGATTCTAACATCGGAAGCTGCCGATTCATTCTCATTTGGTGGTTTGGCCGTGCCAAATCTATGTTGTTGGCTACCTTCTTGTGGGCTAGTTGAGACTTGTCCTACTTGTTGGCTACGTTCAGCAGCTACAGAGCAGTTTTTCGAGTTCGGATTAGTTGATGGCTTGGTTTGAGCTTGGTGCACGGTTTCATGAGGTATTCAGGGGCGTGCTTATTTCAGAGACTGAGTTATCAGCAAAACATCGGGATGCTAGGAAAGTTCTAGTATATCCTTCTTAGTCTTTGGTTACCCATGTGAACCTACAGGACATGTTGGCAAAGAAAACGCCAAGTGGTGAGGCGTAACCACGCTAGCCTAGAGGGGCGATAGCTATATAGAATCCTTTTCCTTCTTGTCTACGATGTCTCCCTTCGAGGTTCGATAGTAGTTACTGTCACACTTGAGATTCATTCAGATTATCATATAGTCAAGGTCAACTTCTTCCTTCCATCATAGCTTCTTTTTTGGCCGTATTGATTGATATCGCATGATAGTCAGTGACCCTTTGTCATGATCGTGCGTGACGGCCCTTTACTGTTTTGTCATTTTGACATTGAGGGCTTGCTTTGAAGTAGTTTCCGGCGAGGTATTTATATTTCTATTTGAGGGACCGAGACATATTCAACTTACTAGAAGCGAACTTCCTTTCATTTAGGAGCTACCCAGCCTGAATTCCTTCTTTTTCCCTGTAGGCTAGCTACCACTTATTCTATGGTTTCTATTTTGAAAGCCATTAGAGCAGCAAGATGGAGCAGTGTTGGTGGGCACATGATGCAGACTGGGAAAGATCTTTCTTACTTGCTTACTTCACTTTCTTAGTTAGTGAGTGGAGAGAAGGACTCATGGGATGAGGCCTGAACGTAGCGTACTCCCTCTATAGCCTCAGAAGGGATATGTAACCGAAGTGTGATATACCCGGAGGGAGGGTATTATACTAGGTCAGTAAGTAGGTCTAGTAAGTCAGTAACAAAGAAAAAGATGTTAGCTTAAGTATCTTGAGTGAGGGAACCTTGGGAAGGTACCCGAACAGAATCCCTTAACTCTCTGAAAGCAATAATAGGTCTAGCTATGTCTTTTCCTTATTCCTTCTTCCTTTCTTCTATGTCCTTAGAGAAGGACTCATGGGATGAGGCCTGATCGGAAGGTATCTCCTTTATATCCTACTATATCTTAAGGTCTTATTATGAATCTTATTTATTTACTGAAGCAGTCAGTCTGAAACAAAGCTCATCAATGAAACAAGCAGCAAGTTCAGAAAGGAAGGCCCGCCTACCAATCAAAGTTTCCAGAGAATTTTTGACATCGGAAAAGACTCCCACTCGGACTGACCGATGGCATTTCTTCCCTGGCCTACCATCCAAGGGCAAGGGAAGTCAATAGCAGTTGAAAGAAGAAAGATACCTGAACTGACCATGAAAGTTGTCTTTATCAATAAGGCCTTACATCTTATTCATCTCTGCTTGCTCTTCCAAGTCTTTCTACTCCTTCCTCCGATCACCACCAACCACAACAAGGTGAACCAGCTCCCGGAGACGAGCATTCTTGCCATACCATTCAACGAGTCCAGTCAAGTTCTTCACACGGTCCAACCTTGCCATTGTGAAGAAGATCGGCTTGCTCCGGTCCTTTAGCACACATCAGTGTTCTTTGTTCTCAACATGGCTGTAAAGGAGCTCCTTAATCTAAGGATGGAAGTAAGTCAACCTCCTGTTCTCCTCTGTGTAGGGGAAGTCAAGACTCGTATCAGCACCAGGTGAAAAAATGTTTCACTTGGGATCAAAAACATCAATCCCATGAACAACTCGGTAGAGCCCAGTAAGAGTGAAAGCATTGTGACTCTCGTCTTGTCCGTGCTTCCAGCTATTTCCTGAAAGGTGCTGGCGATGATGAAATCTGTATGATTCATGGCAATGAGATCAGCAGTTAATTGGCAGGAAAACTCCTCCAACCTTTTCCAGTAGATGTCAGAATCTTGGTACTTTGTTTTATCAAGAGCATGAGCGATGGTGCACTGTGTAACCCCCATTGCTAACAAAGAAGCAACAATCTTTCCATCACTGTAGTTGCCAATGAGAAGATCGATCTGGCTTTTTCTTTCACTCCTCAGTCATTTATTTCGCAACTTCCTCTGTGAAGCGAAAAGACTGGAACTTCCACATCTAATGACCTGTAGCCGATTGCTTACTTTACTCCTCTTTATGAATCTTTCTAATTGAAAGGCAATTAGTTTATTCTCTAAATGTAGCATCCCGGCTAAGGGAAGGATGAAAGCCTTGCCCTACTTTACCTTCACGGCCTAGGCCCCCCCTTGTTCGTTACCCAGCTTGAACTACTTCCTTCGTCTTTGGACTCTGCCAGCTTCTTCCTGTGCTTACTATTAGAGCAAAAGGCGAGGTCTAGTCTTTCACTTTTTAATTAAAGTAAGTAAATCAGTTTCAAGCCTTTACTTTTAACTCTTTACAGCAGTCTCTGAAAGTTCTAGGTCTCCTGACTTTTTAAAAGGTTAGGAAGAGAAAGATCTGGGTGCTACAAGCAGAAATCCATAGTAAGTATTCGACTTAAATAAAGATATTGCGTAAGAGAGACTCAGTCTCTTGAGACCAACGATATTGATTGAGGAAGCCTACCTGTCACCTTGAACCATGTCTGTCAAGGGTGAAAGATAGCCCTAAAGTCAAGGCCCGGAGATAGGATTTCTCAACTGTCGATCGACGTGACAATCATGTCTGTAAGAAGGACGACTTCTTTCAAAGACCCTACCCCTATTGGACATTATTTACTTGCAAAGACCGGTTCTGCTCGGGGATATCTCTTTGCATAGAAGGATTCAGTCTTGGCTAAGCCTTAGGCTAGTGAATCAAAAGAGGGGCGTGCTAAGAGATTGTAATGGGAGATGGCTGTTGTGGTTCTCCAAGTATCTAGGCAAAGGAAATTCCCTGGTGGCTGAGCTCTGGGGAGCAGTTATCAGCCTTGATATGGCCTGGAAGCAGAGATATAGAATTGTGACCTAAAGCTAACTCTTCCACGTTGGTTAACCTGCTACTAAACAAGTGTGAACTCCAAAACTCTGTTTCAATCTGGTGAATAGAATCCAATCTATTGCCAGACGCTCTTGTCTTGGATTATTAGGACCTCCCATGTTCATAGGGAAGGCAATGTTGTCGTAGATTGATTAGCTAATTCGTCTCTATTCCAAGATTGTTATACAGTTATGTTAGGCAATCCCCCTCTAGGCTGTAGCTCCCTAGTGTAGCAGGATTTCGTGTGTGTCTCTACTCTCTACACCTAGACTTGTTAGTTAGTTTTATTTCCCTTTTGTTAAAAAAAAAGAGAGAGAGAGAGAGAGAGATGAGCCAAGTACTCATTGAACACATCCAACCGTGTTCCTGATTAGTGTTTACCAATTGTAACTGGTGAACCTTCCTTAATCATGTTGGAACGAGGCACACAAACTGTGACTAATGTGTTATTTAACCTGTATTGTTTAATTCAAAATATTGAATGAAAAGGTCAATACAATGGCACCGCATAAAAAATGTAATAACTTGGTAAACTGTACAACAACCTTAGATTTAAGTATCACATTAGATTATTGAGAAATTGCACCTCTCTAATCCATCATTCAGTCAAACAAACGTACATTCTACGATTACATGACCTCAGTCTCAACACTAAAGGAATGATACAGTTTAGTCAAATGCATTACAAAAAGAAAATCTATGGATGCAAGAAAATATCCCATGATAACCGGTCTTTAGCTCATAAAATGGGAAGTCAACAAGGCTAACCATCGTTAATGGAGGAGTGCTGCACAGAGTGCTATCAATAGTATCTTCTGATGAACACTTACTATCAATCTATGAATTCCATCCATTGCAGCTTAAAAGGATAATGTCGAAAACAAATTCAAATACCCAAAGCACATCATGTTCAAGCTAAAGAGCCACACAATCCTAAAATCGTTGTTGCTAAAAATCCATTGAAACCAATCCTGGGATCGAACAACCTATGGACCATTTAATTCGAACATGAACTAGCGTAATCATCCTTCAGTTCCTTTTGAGACATCCAAAAGAACAACGAATAGTTATCTTCCAAAGTAGGTTGATTCTGTTCGTATTACAATCAATGGAAAAGGCTGATTTAACAAATGTACATACACTTGTCGGTATTGTACAGACACCAAATTCACAAAAAAATACAGGTAACAGCCACAGGTGGGCATATGCATATTAATTGAAACTTGAAACTAATGGACTGAGGTTCGAAGCAACCTTACGATCATGAAAAGCATTGGAACACTAGTGATTGTCAAATTGGCTGTTACCGGACAACTCAAGATCATCCTTGCAGTTCTTTCTCAAATCTTTCAGTGTTTCAAGGCTGGATTCCTGAAAGCACAATGAAATTATTCAAAGGCATTAGGGGCGAAAATGAAAATAATAAACTAGGATATTGTTCAGTTAGGTTGAAGCGGAAATGTCCAGCCAATGAAAGCTGGTGTTTCTATCTACGAAGGGGTAGTAGAAATGTCTGACACGTGAGGAATGGTGAAAATGATCTGAAGTGCAAAGGGGAATCAATGCTCAAAGTATGTGTGAATTGTCCTCCCTGACACCATACTAGCCTTCTATAGAGGCTTGTGACAGGTGATCTAGAGCTAATATCATGCAGATGGTAATTGTGGGTGATGTAGTGATGACAAGGAAATCATGGGTACAGACCACAACACAATGCAGGCTGGTGAGACACAACAAGCTAGCAAGCAAGGCGAGTTTCGTCCAGAGGCATGAGCAGCCTCCTTCCTAGCCTAGCATCTAGTTCCTAGGTCTCTATGAGGTCCTCAGATCCGAGAACCATGCCCGGAACAGATACAGATCAGAGATTTCAAACTTCAAAACACTTAAATATTGAGTGAATTATCAGAAGACACAAAGTTCTATACATAACAGTGCGAAAACATTACAATGATTTCCTTAGGATCCTCTAATTAATTCTATATATGGTTTCCTATTATTTACAATTTACATATATGTTAAGATATTCTAACAATCCTAATCAGATATTGAGATATTCTAACAACCCTAATAGAATATTCTAACAAAAACATAGCATAGCAATAACTAGTTAAATATAAGCCAAAAATATTGAGAAATGACTTTACAGAAGCTGGCCTCCATATGCAGCAAAGGTTCCATGGATAGCCAACAAAGTAGATTCAAGGCTTTCTTATAACAAAGTGAATTCCAGGGGAGTGTGCACACTCAAGAAGGGAAAATGGATAGTGTAAAAATGCAGAAATTTCAATTTAGAAAATTAAAACGGCAATCGAAGTAAACATTTGGGTTGACATACTAAGTCCAGGTGATAGCATTGAAACTCACAAGCTGGCTACTTTCTTGAACAAATGCATTCTCCATATGAGCAAAGAGAGACTTCCACTGATGCATAAGGGACAACTCTAACTTGAACGACTCCGTACTGCTTTGTTGGTCATCTATGACCGTATCCTCCAGTCCAGAAAATTTCTGAAATATCATGCTTGCTTCTTTCTGACTGTACTTCACAGCTATCCACAAAAAGCGATGAAGCTAAATGATAGTAGGAAGAATACAATAACTGAATGTAGCTGAGCAAAGTGCCTAAAATGATTTCCGGAACAACTTACCACTAAGTCTACCCTTGACATCCTGGTAATGGAGATCGGACCACATATAAGCAGCTGGTAAACAATATAAGCACCTTTAGAACGAAACACAAATTTCCCCTAAAAATGAAACATGTTAAAGACAACAAAAACATACATGGAAACTGTAACCACCTTTAGAACAAAAGGAACAAGAGCAATTTTTCAGAAGGTCCCCGCCAGCAACAGTTGAATTTGCAGCACCATCTCCCTTGAGTTGCGCACACCGTTCCAGTCCTGGAAATTTAGAACCACCAGAAGCGGAGTTTGTTGGCAGTTCCATCGTCGCACATTTGGATGATGCCAAATTGTCAGTAACATCACTCGCTTGATGCCAAATTGTCAGGGCCATGTCATCACTTTCAATTGCACGATTGATGAACCCTTCAGTTGAGGGTCTTCCTTGACCTTTCTCTCCAAACCCAACGGAATTTCCACCGCCACCCAACAAATTCTGCTCCTCGCTTACATCACTCGGTAAATTCATATTTTGAGACGAGACGTTCTGCGTAAAAGCATCACTGCAGAATGGCAACTTGAAAAGTGGGTCTTTCCCCTTTGGTTTTAACAAGGTCTTGCCTTTGTTGTTGGGGTGAGTTTGTGCACTAACAAGTTGTGATTGACACTTCTTTTTTACTAAATTCTCTACCCCTAAGCACACTTTCTTTGTGAACTGCGAGTTCCCATCGTCTCCGGAAATCGAAGAAATGGGTCTTCTCGGTGGGCGATTCGTGATGTCCGTGAGACGGGATTTGAAAACCCCGTCCCTTAAATTATCTTCGTTTTCCATGAATTCGATTTTAGGAGAGTTTGACCGAATAGGTGAATTTGTGTGATGGAAACCCTAATTAATACTCTTTCAAGATTAGTGACTAAGGAAACCCTATGTGCACAGAACAAAGAGGGAATGAAAAAGGGAGATTCGTAGCGAAAAGAATGGATCTTACAAATCTTGATAAGGAGTTAGAGCACTAACGAAAATAGCATTCCAGCGCGCGAAGAGAGAGACGAAGTGTGAACTGTGAAAGAACGAAGAGAGTTTGAAAAGCAACGAGATTCGAGTTTGAATTATAAACTTTTGAAAAATCCGGCGCGGATTTCGCAATTCGAACTAAATAGTTGGCCCAATGATTTAATCAAATCAATGATTTAATCGATTTGATTAAATCATTGGGCCCATGTAGTGGATCCGATGAAAATGATTCAACTCGATCGGTTTTTATCAATACTGATGACTTGGTGCATGTTTGGATCCTCTCTTTTTTAAATTAGAAGCTACTTATAAGCATAAGTTAGGCCAAACAGGTTTTGAAAAAAATACTTATAATGAAAAGCTCTTTTTTTATAATGAAGAAAAAAGCTGAAAACTAATAGCTCTTTATAATGAAAAACTCTTTTTTTGATCTCTTATATGTTTTTCTTGAATTATGTGCTTTTTTTTTAAAATAAAGAGCTATAAAGATAGAGAGAGAAATAATTTTCTTGAAACATGTGCTTTTAAGTAATTTTTAAGAAAAACTTTTTATGTAATTACCAAACACTTTTTAGCTTCTTTTTTTAAGCTCTTTTTTCTAACTTTAGTTTATAAGTAGCTTCTAGCTTAAAAATAAGAGGATAACAGGCTCTTAGTTTGTTCAAAAAAGTGGCAAGTTATGTATTTTAAAATAAATAAGTTTATGTCAGTTTGTTCCCAAAAATTTTAAAAAAAAAGTTCATAAACCCTTCCCCCTTCTTTACTTGCGAGTTGTACCCCTCCCAAACTCTTTCTCCTTTTATCAATTCCTTTCATAGAATGGCTCTGAATAATAATATAATATATACAGATGTGTAACTTACCTTGCTTCTTCTTCTTTCTTTTCTTTGCAGCTGGAGAACAAAGTTTCAACGAAGAATGGGTGAAAAAAGATTTGAGAAGTCTGTATTAAAGATTGAAATGGACTCCTATGAGAGAAAGCAGTCATATACGAGCCAAAACTAAGTAATTACCCCAACCATACACATACACCCATCTTTCACAATTATATTCCTAGTTTTGATCCTGCGATAGTTCTCCTTGATTACAAGATAACACATAACTTCTTTCTTTTTTTGCAACTGAAGAACAAATTTTCAATGAAGAATGGGTGAAAAAAGATTTGAGAGGTCTGTATTGAAGATTGAAATGGTCTCCTATGAGAGAAAGCAGTCACATACGAGCCAAAGCTAAGTAATTAGCTCATCCATACACATACACCTATTTTTCACAATTATATTCCTAGTTTTGATCCTGCGATAGTTCTTTTTTATTACAAGATAACTCCTAAGTGCCCAAATTACACCCACAATGAAAAGGAGCAAAATTTCATCTTCTCTAATTTACAGCAAAGCAGGACTCAATGAAAAATAACAAAATCAGGACACTTACCTTGCTTCTTGTTCTTTCTTTTTTTGCAGTTGGAGAACAAAGTTTAAATGAAGAACGAGTGAAAAAAGTCCTAGTTTTGATCTTGCGATAGTTCTCCTTGATTACAAGATAACACCTAAATACCCAAATTACGCCCACAATGAAAAGGGGCAAAATTTCATCTTCTCTAATTTACAGCAAAGCAGGACTCAATGAAAAAAGGGAAAAATCAGAACACGCTTGTTCTTTTTTTTTACCGCTAGAAAACAAATTTTCAATGAAGAATGGGTGAAAAAAGATTTGAGGTATATATTCAAGATTGAAATAGACTCTTGTGAGAGAAAGCAGTTGCATACAAGCCAAAGCTAAGTAATTACCCCAGTCATACACATACAATCATCTTTCACAATTACATTCCTAGTTTTGATGTTGCGATAGTTCTCATTGATTACAAGATAACACCTAACTTCTTTCTTTTTTGCAACAGGAGAACAAATTTTCAATGAAGAATGGGTGAAAAAAGATTTGAGAGGTTTGTATGGAGGATTGAAATGGACTTCTATTAGAGAAAAAAGTCACATACGAGCCAAAGCTAAGTTATTAGCTCAGCCATACATATACACCCATTTTTCATAATTATATTCTTTGTTTTGATCCTACAATAATTCTTTTTGATTACAAGATAACACCTAAATATCCAAATTACACGCACAATGAAAAGGGGGAAAAATTCATCTTCCCTAATTTACAGCAAAGCATGACTCAATGAAAAGGGGACAAATCAGAACACTTACCTTGCTTTTTCTTTCTTTCTTTTTTTGCAGTTGGGGAACAAAGTTTCAATGAAGAATGGGTGAAAACAATCCTAGTTTTGATCTTGCGATAGTTCTCCTTGATTACAAGATAACATCTAAGTACCCAAATTACACCCACAATAAAAAGGGGCAAAATTTCATCTTCCCTAATTTACAGCAAACCAGGACTCAATGAAAAAGGGCAAAATCAGAACAATTACCTTGCTACTTGTTTTTTTTTTTCAGCTGGAGAACAAATTTTCAATGAATAATGGGTGAAAAAAGATTTGAGAAGTTTGTATTGAAGATTAAAATAGACTCCTATGAGAGGAAGCAGTCGCATACGAGGTAAAGCTAAGTAATTACCTCAGCCAAACACATACAACCATCTTTCACAGTTATATTCCTAGTTTTTATCATGCGATAGTTCTCCTTGATTACAGGATAAAACCTAACTTCTTTCTTCTTTTGCAGCTGGAGAACAAATTTTCAATGAACAATGGGTGGAAAATGATTTGAGAGGTCTGTATTGAAGATTGAAATGGACTCCTATGAGAGAAAACAGTCGCATACGAGCCAAAGCTAAGTAATTAGCCCAGCCATACACATACACCCATTTTTCACAATTATATTCCTAGTTTTGATCCTACGATAGTTCTTTTTTGATTACAAGATAACACTTAAGTACCCAAATTACACCAACAATGAAAAGGGGCAAAATTTCATTTTCCCTAATTTGAAGCAAACTATGACTCAATGAAAAGGGGAAAAATCAGAACACTTACCTTGCTTCTTGTTCTTTCTTTTTTTTCATATTGGAGAACAGAGTTTAAATGAAGAATGGGTGAAAAAAGTCCTAGTTTTGATCTTGCGATAGTTCTCCTTGATTACAAGATAACACCTAAGTAACCAAATTACACTCATAATGAAAAGGGGCAAAATCAGAATACTTAACTTGCTTCTTGTTTTTTTTTTTTTTTTTTTGCAGCTAGAGAACAAATTTTCAATGAATAATGGGTGAAAAAGATTTGAGGTATGTATTGAAGATTGAAATGGGACTTCTGTGAGAGAAAGCAGTCGCATACGAGCCAAAGCTAAATAATTACCCCAGCTATACACGTACAACCATCTTTCAATATTATATTCCTAGTTTTGATCCTGCGATAGTTCTCCTTGATTACAAGATAACACCTAACTTCTTTCTTTTTTTGCAGCTGGAGAACAAATTTTAAATGAAGAATGGGTGAAATTTTGTTGAGAGGTCTGTATTGAAGATTGAAATAGACTCATATGAGAGAAATTAGTCACATACGAGCCAAAGTTAAGTAATTAGCCCAGTCATACACATACACCCATTTTTCACAATTATATTCCGAGTTTTGATCTTGCGATAGTTCTTTTTTATTACAAGATAACACCTAAGTACCCAAATTACACCCACAATGAAAAAGAGCAAAATTTCATCTTTCCTAATTTATAGCAAAGCATGACTCAATGAAAAGGGGCAAAATCAGAACATTTACCTTGCTTCTTGTTCTTTCTTTTTTTCATATTGGAGAACAAAGTTTAAATGAAGAATGGGTGAAAAAAGTTTTAGTTTTGATCTTGCGATGGTTCTCCTTGATTACAAGATAACGCCTAAGTATCCAAATTACACCCATAATGAAAAGGGGCAAAATCAGAACACTTAACTTGCTTCTTGCTTTTTTTTGCAGTTGTAGAACAAATTTTCAATAAATGATGGGTGAAAAAGATTTGAGGTATGTATTGAAGATTGAAATGGACTCCTATGAGAGAAAGCAGTCGCATACGAGCTAAAGCTAAATAATTACCCCAGCTATACACATACAACCATCTCTCACAATTATATTCCTAGTTTTGATCTTGCGATAGTTCTCTTTGATTAAAAGATAACACCTAACTTCTTTCTATTTTTGTAGCTTGAGAACATATTTTCAATGAAGAATGGGTGATTTTTTTTTGAGAGGTCTGTATCGAAGATTGAAATGGACTCTTATGAGAGAAAATAGTCACATACGAGCCAAAACTAAGTAATTAGCCGAATCATAAATATACACCCTTTTTCACAATTATACTCCTAGTTTTGATCCTGCGATAATTGTTTTTGATTACAAGATAACACCTAGGTACCCAAAATACACCCACAATGAAAAGGAACAAAATTTCATCTTCCCTAATTTACAGCAAAGCATGACTTAATGAAAAAGGGGCAAAGTCAGAACACTTACATTGCTTGTTGTTCTTTCTTTTTTTGCAATTGGAGAACAAAGTTTAAATGAAGAATGGTGAAAAAGTCCTAGTTTTGATCTTGCGATAGTTCTCCTTGATTACAAGATAACACCTAAGTATCCAAATTACACACTGTAAAGAACCTTGGGATACACCACCCCAAAAGCTAGCTCAAAGGGTGGGAGTGCCCAAGACCTTATAAACTCCACATTAGTTGCACATACAACCAATGTGGGACTATATATCTCAACACGCCCCCTCACACGAGAGCCCATTAGGCTTGAAGAGTGGACAATGCAACAGGCTCAGCCTACTTGGGCTAAGAAACGCCACAAGAGAAAGTGGGGGGCGGCGAGACTCTGA